ATATACAAGTTATTGGTGGCAGCTACAGCAATAATGCTCTCCATGGGGTGCCAGGCTGTGTGAAGGATCTTCTTATTGAAGTCCAAACTGTCCACGCTAATCTCGTCTTTCTTTCTCTTCCCCCCTGTACATACTTTCCGGGGTTTCAGGCTGGCTTGGGGTTTGCTGTTCTCTCTTGAGGCCTCCAGTGTAACATCCCTCCGAGTGTTTCTACCAAACATTCTGAAGAAGTTGTTGTAGGACCCCGTCATAATGGCACTGTCTGAACCATTCCAGCAGCATTCGAACTTGTCAAAGATGCAGTCGTTCTCATACAAGGAGCAGAGCTTGCTTCGTAGGTACTCATGTACCTGGTGGATCTCCACAGGCCTGCCCTCCATGTTGAGGTCCCATACCTTCACCGACAGATAGTCTCTGGTCATCATGTACCGACCACTGTGGCTAAACTTGACGTCAGATATAGACGAGATAATTTCTGAGAAAAAGGATTTACTGCTGGGGTCTTCTGGCTCTTCAAAAAACTTGGCATGCCTGTCACACAGGGCAGAGGAGCGCATGTCACACAGTCTGATGGTCCCCTTGCTACCGCTGTAGACGAACACGTTGCATTGGTGTGGGTGGAACTCAGCGGCAGTGATGACTTCTGTCAGCTCCTGCATGTTAGCTGGCTTGATGTCCACAATGTTGAAGCTTCTATCTGTGATTTCTAAATGCCAAAGGTTAATTCTCAGATCATCTGCAGAGAGATATGTTTCGTGATCACCATTTACTGAAATGGAATTAATGTGATATGTATGAGCATTTGCAAAAATTCGTTGCAGACTTGCTTCTACCATAAGGTCCATGGGCTTCAATATTGGAACCCGTAGTGCCGTAATTCTAAATGGGTCTCGAAGTCGTCCATCTTCATCTTTCAAGTTATAACCTTCTGCTCTTTTATCCCGTTCACTTATTTTCCATAATTTAATAGTTTTATCATTTGTAGAGAGTAGAAAATGAGCAGCATTCTGTTGTGGTAACCACCTGATTTTATTAATTTTTTCTTCAATTTCTAGACTTTTCAAATAGTCAAACTCTGGCTCATGACTCTGAAAGGTACTGTAAACATTGTACTCTCCCCTAGAGTGACGGCGGCCTTTATTCTCATGTTCCCGTTGGAAAATAACAACTCTACCACCTTTGTCTCCCGTTGCAAAAAGGTCTCCAGAGTAGTTAAACTCAACGGTGGAGATGATGTCGGCTTCCACCACGTCCTCGTCGACAGCGCCCTTCACCTGCGAGAAGCACCACTGGAAGTCGTTGCCGGCCTCCTCCGGCTGCTGCCATGGCGCGGGCGGGACGCGCCCAGCTGAGCGCGGCCGACCGAGGCGCTACGAGCGCTCAGCCTCGGCCGCCGCCGCCGCTCCCGCCGCCGCCGCCCAGGCAATTGGTCTTACCAACAGTGTCTAATCATATTTAAAAACTCTTCCCCAGGGCTGTCACACAGAGAAAACCTTTCTTGAAAAACAAAATAAAAGGATATTACAGAGGATGCAATGAAGAGATGGATAGAAGAAACTACAGGGGTGCTGAGCCTCCACACCCTTTCTGGGGACAACTTTCTCCATGATTTCAGCATCCTCAAAGGAGAATATCTCTGGTTTTCTAAATCCATTCTTAGAAATATTTATGTCTGGGGATGGAGAAATGGTCAAGAAGTTAAGAAAACTGGCTGCTCTTCCAGAAAACCCTGGTTGATGTCTCAGCACATACATGATATCTTACAACAACCTGTAACTCCAGTTCTGCTGGGAGATATTTGGGAAAAAACCTCATATGCATGAAATAAAGAAACATCTTTTTGAAGAGAGAGAGAGAGAGAGAGAGAGAGAGAGAGAGAGAGAGAGAGAGAGAGAGAGAGAGAAGACTCTTCCCCAGAGTGGCATCTGCATGGCAAATTAATTTAAGGATCTGATTTGACCTGTTTTGCTAGGCTGAATACAGCTGGGCCCTCCTAAGATGCAAAATCCTTTGTTCAGTGCACTCTGAAAGGAAAAGATAAGAAGCAGAATAGAGTTTATCCTTGTTTTCTCAGTGAAGCCATAAACAACACTATATTAAACAATGTTCCTCCTTTGTTACTTTCCTCCTAAGAAAGCCCTATGCAATGAAGGGTGGAAGAGGAGAGGCAGGAAGATGGGTTAAAAGTCAAATGGAATGAGTTTTAGGCCCATCCTACAAAACAATATCTTGGACATTACAGTCTTAGCCTCCCAAAGGGGAACTGCTGAGGGAATTTAGTAGTGAGAGTCAGAGTCTACCAGTCTCATGCCTTATCCCTTCCTCTTCAAGTTTTCATACATGTATAATTAGGAAACTTCTGCTAGGAAGCCACAGCTGCTAAATCATAGGTTTGCTTGAACATCATTGTTATTCAAACTGTGAATGAGTAAAATTAGCATTACCTAGGAGCTTGTTATAAATGTTAGAAATACAGATTCACCACAGAACCACTGAATCAGAACCTACAGTTTAACAAGATTCCAACGCAGTTGTCATTGAGCATTCAAGTCCAAGATGTACTCTGCTCCAGAGAACATGTGACAAAACAAAGGTCAGCCTGAAAAACAGAACCAGATTTGGAGTCAAGTGTTCCAGGTTGTAGTGTTATTTCTGCCTCTTATTGTCTGTACAATGTAGACAGATTTCTAAGCCATTTTATTTAATAAAGAACATGGAGCCAAATATAGGGGTGAAAGCCTTAGAGATCTGAGAAATAGTGAAAGCCATCAACCACCTTACCTTACCAGCTCTGCAGCTCCCAAAAGTGAGTCACTTCCTGTCTACCCATGCCTTTATTGCCTTGCTGTTCTGCTCTCTCATTGGCTCTTAGCCCAGCTGCCTTACTTCCTTGTCACTGTCTGTCTGTACAGACCTCCACGTCTCTATGGTTGGTACTGGGATTAAAGGCACATGTCACCACACTTGGCTCTGTTCCCTAGTGTGACCTTAAACACACAGAGACCCTGCCTGCCAAGTGATCAGATTATGGGCATGTGCTACTACTGCCTGACTTTTGTGTTAATGTCTTGATATTTCCTCTGATCTCCAGGCAAACTTTATTTATTGACATACAAATAAATATCACCACATTTCAGCACAAATAAAATATCACCACAGTACAAAATTAAGAAAGTTGCTCTAATCCTCTTAAGTGGGGCTTTCTAGTGGCTGAAGAATGGTATAAGTGTTATGTGTTTTGAAACCAAACTGCCTGATCTTAAATTGTGATTTTACTCAAGCTTTGCTTGAATTGATTTACATTTGTTGGTTTTAGTCTCCTCATCTATAGGACAAGGTATAATAATGAGCAACACTAATTTTGAGGTAATCGATATAAATCACATAGTATTATAGTTGTCGTGATCTAAGTCCACACAAAGTTTTATGCTTGGGCTTTATACAGAAGTTTTCAAAAACACAGAGAGATAGAAAAAGTAATGCCTACTGGGGGCTGGATACAATCTTTCATTTTCAGAGTTATTATGAAAAAAAAGTTTATTTTGATGCACACACAGCTCAACAATAGTTACAATTACCCAAAGACTAGAGCTCTAACTGGGAGCCACCATATGGCCACATGATTAATTTCATGATATTTTTTTGAAACAATTAACCAGTTCCTTAAGGAGTCCCCATTACCTTTGTCTAAATTCATTTTGTATTGCTGTAACAGAATACTTAAGCTGGGAGTTAGGGTGTAGCTCAATGGTAAAACATTTCTCTAACAATCTTCAACACAACAGCAATACATTTGAATTGGGTAATTTATTTGAATCACATTTCTGAAGACTGAAAAGTACAATGGCATGGCAACAGAATTTGATCAGCATCTGATGAGGCTTTCTTGCTGCTTCATCTTACAGTAAAAGACAGAAGGGCAAGAGAGTATAGGGGAAAAGAGGAGAAGTCTAAGTATACTTTTATGACAAATCCACCTGTGATAATGATATTAATTCACTCATGACCTAATCACACCAGGAAGGTACTACTCCTTTACACTGTTGTTTTTGGGATTAAGGTTTCAACATATAAGCTTTAAGGGACTATTGCTAACTGGAGGGCCAGATTCCAGGCAGCACCAGGGTATGCAAAGAAAAAAAAAATCCATGAAAGTGGTGAGGGCTAGGCTTTTTCTATCTGAGGGGTAAATTGGACACATACACGTTTTCTAATGGTAACTTTCTCTTTTACTTCATCTTTAAAATCTCTTTATCTCCACAAGCTACATTTTTAACATACAGTTATAGATCTCTCTTTATATACATATATCTCTCTCCTGCACAGCCATATATTTCTATATACAATTACATCTCTTTTTTTATATAGCTCCACATTTCTCTTCTATACACATTTCTTCTCTCTACTTTGCTACATTCCTTCACACACTACTACATCATTCACTCACTCTTCACTCACTCACTCTCTTCTTCACACACATTTCTGCCCTACATACATATTTCTTTTCTATACATCTTCATCTTCCTTGTCTCCACACAGTTACAAATCTCCACACATTCTCAATACATTCTCTCTATATAGACACTAGCTACATCTCCCTTTCAGCACACACACACACACACACACACACACACACACACACACCACATACTTTAACAGCCAAACTCTGGACAATTATATGTTACATTTTCAGGGTCTGACCCATTCTCATAACACATGATAAGTCACACAGTTTCTCTCAAGCTAGAGCTGTCACACTGACCAGCCAGTGAGTATCGCTTGGCCATGCACACAGCCTGAGCGGTCAGGGTTCCCAGAAAGAAAGTGGCATTGAAACTCAGGACCTAAGCAATAAACAGTTGGCTGAACCTTAAGTGGTAGGGGTATGTGCAGAAAATAAATTACTGCAGAGGGTTGTGTCTACCAAAGTTGCTTCATGCCTGGGTCTGATTCAACAAACACTTGGGAGCTTGTCTTTGTGTATTCTCTGCATGAACAGCTAGTCTGTTTTGAATTTGTTTTGAGGTCTAGCTAAATGTGTAAAAGGCTGTCTTTGTGACTGAGAATACTGTTACCTTCCTATGTCAGTTATGAAAAATAACATAGTATTATTTCTTTTTTTTTTTTTTGGTTTTTCAAGACAGGGTTTCTCTGTGTAGCTTTGGTGCCTGTCCTGGAACTCACTCTGTAGCCCAGGCTGGCCTTGAACTCACAGAGATCCACCTGGCTCTACCTCCCGAGTGCTGGGATTAAAGGCGTACACCACCACCGCCCGGCATAGTATTATTTCTTGTCATCAGAATTATACAGCCTTAGCAGAAATCATCTTCTTGACCATCCACGGTTATATATGTGTTCAAAAGATAGAATATATACATGAGATAAAGACACAAGCAGTGGGAAAAATATCCACAGCAGTTTTTAGGGAAGAAATGTAGTAGCACATGAGAAAAGCTACAGACAGAAGCAACCATTTAGTCAGTGACTCTATGGTCCTTGCCAGGTGGCACTCCCCATTAGAGAGTTATTCATCCAGTGGGTTGACCTGTGGAACACTAGTTGTTACCTGCCTTATACTCCCATGGCCTCCAATAGGGGAAGGGACTCATTCAAATCATAACATTCTACTATCAACTCTAGATTCATGCAATTCTGCATGTTCTCTAACCTATGAAAATAATGTACAGGAGCAGTCACACAGAAAGCAATGTTGTTCAGCCAAGAAATGAGCATTTGTAGTTGACCTTCTCTTACCCACAGGAATACACACAATTTACAGTAGGGCATTATCATGGGCCCATCACCACACTCAATGGATGGAAAGCATCCAGAAGAGGGCAAGCAATAGGGACCCTCAGCAAAACACTACACCACAGAAAGTGAGCAAACATGACTCAGTTAATGCCACTTCAATTACTCAGAATCTCTGTACCTCCAATGTTGAAAAGGCCCAGAGGTACCTCCCAGTAGATATTGCTTAGATTTGGAACTTTCTAATAAATGACCTGGCAAGTAATTCTCCAAGAGGAAGATTAAAATGAATTTTAGAAAGTCTAATCCACTAGGCTGTCTTCAGCCCAAGATGACTAACTCTCACATGAAAAATGTTTTTAGTTGGATATAAAAGGAGATTCCTGGAAAAGGTTGGCACCAGGCATAGGTGCAATTGTACAAAGGGCTGGCAAAAGAGAAGGCACAATAAGGAAAACATTGGCATATTCCATATTGCATGGAAGAAGATAATGGAAATAAAATACCAATAAAACTGAAAAATATCATCACATATAAAATATATGAAAATCAACTTAATAAGGTAACTAACTCAGAGACCCAGAGCCAGAAATTATGCAGAGAGAAAGGTCAGGGGAGACCTTGGAACACAGAGCTCTAAATGGAATGTCTCCATCAAATCCCTCCCCTCAGAGCCCAAGGAACCCTGCAGAAGAGGAGGAGAAAGAGTATAAGAGCCAGAGGGTATGGAGGATAACAAGCAAACAAGGTCAACTAAATCAAGTGAACAAGGCTCATATAAAGTCAGAGAGACTGAAGCAGCAAGCACAGGGCCTACACAGGTCTGCACCAGGTCCTCTGTGTATACATTATAGCTTTCAGCTTATTGTTTCCATGGGACTCCTAAGTGTGTGGGTCTCTGATTCTTGTACCTGTTCTTGGGACTCTTTCCCTTCTGTTGAATTGCCTTGTCCAGCCTTGATGTAATGGGTTTTGCTTCATCTTATTATATTTTATTTTGTCATGTCATGTTTGGTTGTTATCTCTTAGAAGCTTGTTCTTTTATAATGAGAGACAGAAAGGGAATAAATCTGGAGAGGAGTGGAGGTGGAGAGGAACTGGGAGGCATAGAGGAGGGGAAACTATAATCACAATATATTGCATGAGAAAAGAATCTATTTTCAATAAAAGAAAAAATGAAAAAAGACAACTAACTCATTTTTAAAAGACTCCTTTTAAGTGTGTGTGTGTGTGTGTGTGTGTGTGTGTGTGTGTGTGTGTGTGTGTGTGTGTGTGAATGCACAGTCTAGGAAGGCCAGAAAAGGGTAATGGATCCCCTAGAGCTGGCATTACAAATGGTTGTGAGCAGCCATATGTGGGTCCTGCGAGCCAAACTCCTGTCCTCTGGAAGCAGTAAGTGCTCTTAATCACTGAGCTATCTCTCCAGCCCAAGACAACTAACTCTTGAATGAAAAAAAAAAGTTTTCAGTTGGATATAAAAGGAGATTCCTGGAAAAGGTTGGTACAGTACAATGCATAGGTGCAATTGTGCAAGGGCCGGCAAAAGAGAAGGCACAATAAGAACAACAACAGCATGTTCCATGTTGCATGGGAGAAGACAATGGAAAACAAATACCATGCCAGGTCTGCCAAAAGCCATTTCTGGTCTCAGAGCTCTAGAGATGCTCCTTTGAACAACAGAAACCAGAGTGAGTGTGCTGGCTAGTTTTATGTCAACTTGGCACAAGCTGAAGTAATCTGTGAGGAAGGAACCTCAATTAAGGAAATGCCTCTTAAGATTGTGCTGTAGGTAAGTCTGTAGGAAATATTCTTAATTAGTGATTGATAGGGGAGAGCCCAGCCCATGGTGGGTAGTACCATCCCTGGACTGAGCAAGCCATGATGAATAAGACAGTAAGCAGCATTCTTCCATGGCTTCTGCATCAGCTCCTGCCTCCTGTTTGAGTTTCTGTCTTGACTTCCTTCAATGATGAACAGTGATATGGAAGTGGAAGCCAAATAAACCCTTTCCTCCCCAAGTTGCTTTGGTCATAGTGTTTCATTATAGCAATAGAAATCCTAACTAAGACCATGACACATGTGATTCCTGGCCATGATACAAGATATGACCTGGATCAGGCAGTGGTGGTACACACCCTTAATCCCAGCACTCAGGAAGCGGAGGCAGGCAGATCTCTGTGAGTTCGAGGCTAGCCTGGTGTACAAAGTGAGTTCCAGAACAGCCAGGGCTATACAGAGAAACCCTGTTTCTAAAAATAAAACAAAACAAAATAAACAAACAAACAAAAATGACCTGGAAATAAAAGGTCTGTAAGCAATTCATCTAAGCCTTTTCTCCAATGAATTGAATCTCTATAACTCACCTATACAGATTAGGCTGGGAGCATCCCTTTCATATACTTCCTAATATTGGTGGAATTATTAAGGCCACTCCACGTAGTTAAAAGGGAGGTTTATTTAGCGGCATAACTTACAAATGAAGGGATAGATAGGTTGCAGGGTCTGGGGAAGACGTAGCACAGTCTGGCGGTGTTCTCTGGAGAACTCTGCTCAGTCTACCTCTAGTGTCCAGGGTCCAGGAACCAAGAGAGAGCAGCACATCCGGATCTGAAAGACCATCTTACCCTGTCTTGGCAGAGTACAGTGGTCACTTTCTTTGTGTCCCGCTTGTCCAGAAAGGACAGCATTCGTACTGTCAGCAGTCAAGACAAGGGCAGTTCTTTGCCCAGTAGGCCATTTTGTGCCAAAAAGACAAATTTCCAAATGGAAATGTCTTAGAAGCCCAACATTCTCTCAGGATCAAATTGGTGCAGCCAGGTGCAACTGTGTCTCATGTCAACAGAATTCTAAGTTATTTAAATGCCATATTCTCTAGGTCTATGAAGTGTTTGAAGATTACCTGTTCATCTGACATATGTATCTGTAAATCCAGATAACCTAACTAAT